ATTGCCCCTTGCTTTCCCCTGCCTTATTATGGCTTTGTGTTCACAGACTAGGTTGAAGCTTCCTTCCAGAAGTTTGGTGAAGATTCCGGCTACCATTGATGACAGCTATGTGAACAAATATTGTCGTCCGAAGAATTATAGAGTTGGTACATCTGCAGGTGGTGCCGAGACTACTGAAGGTCTCAGTGGTTTTGCTCAAGGGTTCGACCCTTTCCAACAAGCAGTATGTAACTATAATTGGGACTGGATGGCATCGACGCAGCGGGCGATGGTTGATATTCATGATTCGATGCACGTCTTACAGCTTCAGATATGCGACCCCTCCACTGAGCGTCCTATGATGACGCGTGAGCAGTTTATGCAGCACGCGAGCTGGCCTGTGGACAGGCCTGTTTTTGGAGAGGGGGTGGGTGCGAGTGGTCCCGGTCATGATGATGTTGGTGATGCTGAGGATGATGATGTTGAGGGAGAAGAGGATTTTGATGATGATGATGAGGGAGAGGAGGAGTATGAGTCCGAGGAGGACTGATTTCTATTTGTATCTGTTTTAGTGTTTTGTTTTCATTTCTGGATATTGTACTTTGGGTTGTACTATTGGGGTGTTTTGTCCCCCACGTACATTTCTATTTCTTTAATTTCAGTTGATTAATGGTTTTTACTTAATTTTGTTTAATAATTTTTTTGTGGTTGAGTGATGTCAAAACCTTCTAGATTGGTTGTTCTCTGAAAGAAGTATCCAATGAAGGTACATCCGAGCTTGGATGGCAATGATAAAATTAAACAAGCGATGAAAGCTAAGGTACATGGTTACCTCCGGTTAGAACTCTAGAATGCATGCAGAACTTTGTTCTTGTTGTGATAAATATTATTCTTTTTGCATCAATATTGAATGAATGATTCACTTAGGATTTAAAACCACAAATTGTGAGGAGACCTCCATTATGTACTTAAATGCTGGATTCTGATAAACCGTGTTGATTCATTTAATTCATGTTCTGTCTTTTATTATTATGAATTTGTGGAAGTTAGTTGAAATGATCAAGGCACTTGTTTCTTTCGAGCACAACTAGTTCCAAATGCAAACTTACCCGTGAGTTGAGAGAGTATTCGTGAACCCACTTTGAGCTTAAACAGTTGAATTCTCGGCTTGAAATAAAGCGAGACTTCAAAAACTTTTTTCTTGAAAACCTGAAAATTTTGATTTTTTGTTCTTTTGCCGTAAAAAAAGTAAAGAGCATTCACTTTTGATGGAAGTAGAAGATAAGTTGGGGAGAACGACAATATAAGTGGGTAATTTGCCACAACTCTTGAAATACCAAGCAAGCATTGAAAAGAATTGTGAAAAAGATAAACACTTGTTTTATGAACATGGTGTAGAAAAAAATGATGATCAAAAGAAAAGAAGAATAATGAATGCTTGCTTGGAAGAAAAATATCGAAAAACAAATTGAGTTGTGGAACAAGAGTTGTGAAGGTTTCAAATGAGTATCAAGATTGAACGATGTTTGAATGTGTGAATTGTTGTACAAGTGAATGTCTCTTTTTGCATCGGCAAATTCATTTCAATGGCTTTAGATATGTCCCTTGTTTGTAAAACCGACCAAGCTATAACCGGAAAAGACCTTAGTGATCTTCGTGCTTCCACATTTTCATTTATAATTGCTAGACATTGTATGAATTGAATTGATTTTTGCATTGTTTGTTGGAGAGTGAAATTGTCCCCGCGCTTGCATGTGCGAAATTTCTTCAATCCTTATTCGAAGAGGAGAGATAGGGTGATTCATTCAAGATATAATTGTTGTGAATTGATAAATGTTTGTATTGCTTTAAGGTTTTAGTTCTGGTGCATTGTGTTGTTCTAACCGTTGGAAACGCGTGTCTGGTTAAGTCGCTTGTGTTTGAGCCATTTGATCCGATTTCGAAGAAACCTTTTTCTTTAAGCAAATCCTCTTGTTCTTCGAGAGGCATACTTTGATTGAGGGCAAGCATGATTCTAGTTGGGGAGAGTTGTTAGATGCCCAATTGTGCTTATTTGAGCTATCAAATGTGGGCATCTTTCGCTCCTTTTTGTCCGGAAAATGTATTAAACCGCCTTGCTTTTGTTGATTATGCATCATTGTGTTAAATGCTCTTGGTACCTTTGATTTGTGTGCTATTGTGCAGGATTTGAGCTTGAAAGAATATAATTTGATGACACAAGAAAGATGACATAGGAATCAAGCAAAGAAGAAGAGCAAAGGGTGGTTCGCTAGGCGAGCACCTGGCGAGTGAGTAGCGAGTGTTCGCTGCAGCCTCGCCTAGCGAGTTGTTAGCGAACACTCTCAGACTTGGGCAGAAGCATTCTTGACATCATTCACTGGTAGCAAACACATGGCGAAAGACTCACTAGGCGAGCTCCCAGCGAGCACCTAGCGAGCAATTCCAGAATCAACCAAGCATCCTTCGCTGCAGCGAGGTCATGGCGAAGCAAAACAGAAGCAAACTTGCAGTCCTCGCTAGCATGTTCGCTAGGCGAGGCTGTAGCGAGCATTCCCTAGCAGCTCGCCTAGCGAGCAAGTAGCGAACGTGCCCAGATTTTCCACTTTCTATAAGTAGCAGGGGCTACTTTTTGGACATATCATCTTTTTACTTGTTTTTACGTTGTTTTGCTGTAAAGGGAGATTTTGTGCCCTAGAACCCTTTTTTCTCTCATTTCTTCATCTCTTAACATATTTCAACAAAAAGAAGGTGAATTCTCATCCAAGTTGTGTTCTTCGACTCGAATGTTCATCAACCTTCTTCCGAAACTTCTTTTGCAAGCTACCATGGAAATGAGTGGCTAAGTTCTTTATTTTGTCAAGGTTAGATGTAGGTAATCATTAAGGTTTGTATGTATATGGATGATCCTCATTTGTAAAACTCTTTGATGATTAATATGTGGTGAAAACCTTGTTTCATTTATAATCTTTTGTGTTGGTTAATGATTGAAAGATATTTTCCAACTCTTCATCTAGGTTTTCATCCATCTCTTTTCTTGAGCTAGAAATAGTCTTGAATGGTGTTGTTCACCTAAATGTTAAACTTAAATGTTGTCATTTTGATAGATTGTGTGAGAAATCAACAATGGATCAAAATGGTAAATATCACAATGTGAGTTAGAGATAATCATATTGGGAGGATATTGTGAATGTGTTGATCATTAAAAAGAGTTTATGCATTGTTGATCGAACATATGCATGCAAAGTGATTACCGAACCCTAACTTTGGCAATCTTTATTTAATCCGTAAAACCATCATTTTATCGCATTTCTTACTTTTATGCAAAGCTACCGTTACTTTAAAACCAAACCCTTTGTTACTATAAAGTTAGGAATTTAACAACTGTCGAACGACGGTAATATCTCATATTATCTGTGGGGACGATAACAAAAACCCGACACTTTACCATTGTTCTAACAATAAACTAACATTTCTTGCATTTCCTACTCATTTCTTACCTAAATCATTATTTTCTACTCATTTACACAAACTCAAAAAACTTATAAAAACGTCAAAACTTACAAATTTAAACTTTGATTCAATGTTGGATGATGTCTCTGATGTTATTGATGTTGATTATAGATCCTTTGAGCTTGATTATTTGATTTTGGACTTGGTTGATGAAAAAATATTTGAGAGTTTAATAAACTTTTGAGTTTTTTTAAAAATGAGAAAAGAGAAGGGTTCTTCCGCGATTTAAACTTCGATCTGTTTTTTTTTTTTAAGTATAAATAACAAAATTTGAACCTCTTTTTAATTTAAAGAACACAAAAATTTAAAATTTAAAACACAAAATTTATTTAAAATAAAACATAATTATTTTGAGAAAAAAGAATATGTACTGACAATGTAAAATATTTTTACACTATTAATTAATCACGGACGTGTATTCCGCCAAATCACACGTTTAATTTTAAAATACTGATATGACATGGTAGAATGATATAATTATATTGGATGATGGTGTAAAACTAGCTTACACCGATAGTGCACTGCGTTTAATCTCAATTATTTTATAATTATTATAATAAAAAGTTATTCATAATTTATATGATTATTGTTCATTTTATAATTAAGTAATTAACTCTTTTGAAATTGATGTGTATCTAAATATTGTATCAAGTTGAATAGCACTCAATAACAGCGCACACAACTAACTTTCCATTTCACTGATCAGATATTTTAATCAATAATTATACTATATTTTTTTTTCCATCTTACGGGTCTCTTTTTTTATATAATTATTTAATATAATTGAATTTATATACTTTAAAATTTGCAATTAATCATCGCATTATGAATTAATTGACATGTAATGTCATGTATATCTAAAAATATTTTATATTATATCCAAATTAAATATCACAAAATAATATTGCAAAATCCTAATAACTTTTCATTTCATAGATTAGTCTGGAAGATAATATCTATTTTATTCCACTAACTTTTCATTTCACAGAGAGATAATATTTATTTTATTTTAGCAAACAATTATCTTATAATGAATTTATATATATATATATATATATATATATATATATATATATATATATATATATATATATATATATATATATATATATATATATATATATATATTATATTAAATAATTTTATTATTCCGTCGCACAAGTATCTTGCCAATAATAATAACAATAATAATAATAATAATAATAATAATAATAATAATAATGTTGAGCGTATAAAAATATTATGCTTGTATCCCAGGGTTTAAATCCTTCATGCATTTTATCCCTATACAACGTGAATAAATATAAATGTAAACCATAGTTAGCCAAAGGCTTTAGCTTCCTCAGCAAAATCGATCACAAGCCTTAGAAAGGATTTATTCTATCTCCCCCTCACTATCTTAGTTAAACTCCTAACTTCCACTCCTGATGAAAAATAATACAATCTGCCAAAAAATCTATGCATACTACTAATTATGTTTAATTGTATAATTAAGGAACCAGTAAATTTAATCACTTCTTGTTTTTCTTTCTTCCTTTTACTTGCTTCTCTAAGCTTCTAAGCCTCTGACTAATAACAGCAGAAGAAGTGGACTTCTTATTGTTTGGTTCTTTTGGTGTTTCAACAGGCAATGAGCTTTGACCAATTGCAGTTGGAGCAGCAGGTAAATCAGGAATACCTAAAGTTTTCTTTACACCAGGAACTTTAAGCGCTGCAAAATTGGAAACAAAAGAACATATAGGGATCAGAAAAATTCAAGAAAATCGAAATACAAGAGTTCATCAGGTAGTAGTAAAAAGAACATGTTGTACCAAACCTTAAAACCACTACACAAGCCATAACTTTCAAACCAACACGCACTTAAGAGATAAATATAATAACCACTCAAGGAATGGACACATAAGTGCTCAAATAAGTTGGTTGTGTAGGGATGAATAAAATTCAACCCATATTTTAAAATGATGCAATGTCCACGCTTCGAGTTCATTGAGGTTGAACATGAGGGGTGTTGGAAATTCCGCCTTCATAGCGGCCTGCCACCAGCGGCCTAATTGCGGCATTTTTAGGCTGCCTTTATTGTAGCCTCCAGCACCTTCATCGCGTTGGATGTGAAATTTCAAAATGGAATCAGAGCCTATATTAAATTTGCTGTTGGATTTCCCACATTGTCCATGTTTCAGGTTCATTGGGGAAACGTGAAGGGTGTTGGAAATTACTCCTTCATTGTGCAGTCTTCACCTTACAAGCCGGTTTTGTAAGGATGAATAAAATCCAACCCAAATTTCAAAGTGGTATTAGAGTCTATCTTAAATTTGTTGTTGGGTTTCCCGCATTGTCCACGCTTCAGGTTCATTGAGGTCAAACATGAGGAGTGTCGGAAATCCCGTTTTCGTTGCAGTCTGCCACTAGCGGCCTAATTGCAGCATCTTTAGGTTGCATTCATTGTAGCCTCCAACACCTTCAATGTGTTGGGACTTGGGTGTGAGATGGTGGATTTAGTCCCACATTGCTTCGAAATATGAAGGGATGAGTTACATAGAACACAAATTCTAAGATATACTAAAAGTGATAGATGTCATTTTTGGATAGCATAAAATACTAATTGCAACTATGCAAGTTGCAATCTTGGCAAAGTTTATGAAGCAATTGTATTTACAATATAGGGGAAATTACTTAGTAATAGTAATCAGACAGGCAGATAATAATAGTGAGGTGCGCTAAATTTCATTTATGCTTAAAACTAGGAGTGCAAGAGTGTAAGTTTCAATGCAAGTTCGTCTCAAACAGATCTGAATCGGCATGCATATACAAGTGAACAATTAAAAAGAATCGCAAGATTCTAGAGCAATGGATTCTCCAATTACTTGCAATATATTATGCTCAAACCTATCATGAATGGCAGAATCAATGCCCTAGGCAATATGCATTTTATCAAAACAAATCAAAATTTCAAAATGATGAATAGTGGCAATGTGGTACTACAAATGAAAATTTTGAAGCTCCTTACCCATTCCATACGACAGTGAAAACAAATTCGATGTAATCCAGTAACAAAATATTGCCTGCAAAATTAGACATAAACACAAGTTCAAGCTACATAGAATGACAAATAGAAGCAGCAGTGGTTAGAATAAAGTAGGACATTACTTCTTTTTCTTTATCAATTAACCAAACACCATTAATTTATAATGTGTAATGAAAAAGGGCAATCAATAGTCTTTCTATATCTACGGCAATTTCCTAGGTTCCCTGACTGGAATAGAATGTTATTGTGCTATAAATCAATACATAATATTCTCCAGGTTTTCCAACAAGTTTAAAAAATTGAAAGGGGTACAAAAGTTTAGTGGTTTTAGTTGAGTCATAAGAAGGTTGGGGGTTCTATCCCCATCAACAGCATAGTACTAACATATGTCATTGATAAAAAATATATATCGAATAACTTCATTTCTGATTTTTATGATCTATTTTTTTTACATAAAAAAATGAATTCAGTGAGAGAAGAAAAGAAATCGATGTAGAAATTGAAAAATTATATTGGAGATGAAGCAGCAGCCTGTATCTCACTTACACTATAAATTGAGGCAATTCTCACCTTCCAGACTGGTTTTGTAAGATTGAGTTAGAATAACAATAAGGGTCATGCTAACGAATGCCCGTCATTGGTTAAGGAACTCATAAAATAAAAGTCTGTCTTTGAAATAGAAGGTAATCACATGTCATTATAATAAATACATCATTTTTAATACAAACCTACCTCTTTTGATTCTTAAACTAATGCCTTACAGATACATATAAGCTTTATTCTAATAAGAATAATATACACGTCAGATGATCTAAGCATTGAACTTTAGAAACGGAAGGGGTGTAGTAGGGGGGGAAATTACGTTAAGCGGAAGCAATGGGAGGAAGTTGTGGATGCCATTCTACTAACAAAGTTGCTAGTCAAATCACATAGCCTAAAAGAGCTTACTGTCTTACCATGTCCTTTCAAGGTTAAAAAAAAAGTTATTTGGAGATAAGCCAAACTACAATGCATGTGCCTGCCTTTACAGAAACTATCCAAGACAAAACTACAGTTTCTTCCTAAATCCATACAATAATTTTTTCAAATGCATACACCAAGAGTAGCAAAGGGAAAGTTTACCTTTGGAAATGTCATGGTGAAAGGAACTGTCAGAAAAGCAAGAATCCTCGAGAATTTTTTCATTGTGTCGCCCATAGGATTTCCTTCCATTCCTTCTTGCATATTACACTGAAGAACAATATAAAAACAATTTGACCTTAATTGGAAATCAAATATAACAGATATTATAAAAAGACTCTGGTCACATCTCAATTTTAAACAGTTTTCTCGTCAAATGGAGTGGCTGGTTTTAGTGAACACGAAATAAAATTCAAAAACAAAATGTAAGAACAAACAAACTTTCAAACAGAACTCAGAAGGACAAACTAGAAAGATTGTTGGTGTTGGGGAAAAAAGGAATCCTGAAAATGAAGTGCTCACCTCTACTACTACTAAGAATGACAATGCAGCCAAAACTGGAAAAATGTATGAGGCATCGGGAGTTGTGAGATCAGTAAACCAGAAAGCTCCACCATGCTTGAATGATGGCATTTTTTCAGACATGTTATTTATCTGCCACCAAAGAAAATAAAATAAAATTGTCAGTGGTAGAAACAATATAAAGGTTACTCAGACTCCTAAAGGTAAGGGGAATATCAAGGTAAAAGTCAGCTTACCGCAAGAAAAAAACTAACGAAGACAGGACCTTGAATAAAAAGTCCCTTCAATGGCGAAAGAGGACTCACACCATGTCTGAATTAATGAAACCAGCAAAGACAAAAGGACATTTAGTGAAACAAAAGATCAATGAAGTTTGATTGAATGCTTAAACTAAAGGTTTCTTTCCAATTCATATTTCTTATATATTACATAACAAATCTTAAATCAACTATAGCAATCACAGTCTAGCCAAAAGAAATATTAAACTATCTAATTCATTTGATTGTTTACAGAAACACCATTTTCAATTTAATGAAAACAGCATAATTAAAATGAGGCAAAAATAGTGGTGACACTGAACAGAGGGGTTGGGTAGCTTAACTAATAACTCGTTTGAGCTTAAGTATTAAAGGGGTTGGAGGACCCAGTTTCAAACCCAGTTAAAGATAAAATACTAACATAAAAACTAATTACTAACAACAATTCGCCGTTTCAAATAAAAGTAGTGACACTGAACACTGAATGTTATGATTTTAAGTTAAGGCCATCACAAGTCACCACAAAGATTACTCCACTGATGTATCGTATCACTGAATGCAGCATTTATACTAAACTTGGAGATCAAACATGACTATTAGCAGTTATGCATTGAAGAAACCATGAGATGACAGCAATTACACTAAACTTGAGATCAAACATGACTATTAGCAGTTGTGAATTAAAGAAAACATGAAATTACTTACTCTTTAAATAGCTTTTTCATCCGCTTCTGACCTTCGGCAACAGCCTCGGGATCAAGTGTCTGAAAAATGGATCCTATTGCGATTAGAGAGAAACCTTCTTTGATATAACAACATATAACATGTGATGTAGGTAAGAAATTTGAAAACTTATCATGTTTATCCAAAATGTCAAAGAACCAACTTGTTATAGATTATTTCGTAGAAAAATCACTTATTTAAAATAAAAAATCATTTTCATGGACTCTGCTGAAGTTGTTAGTTTTAGATAAAAGGGAGGAGATAAATAATAAGAGTTTCAAATTATTGATAACAACTGGACAATGAACCGATTCAACAAACCAAACACTAGTTCCTATCCTAATTATAGGGAATAAGGATATATGACTCCTAATTTTCATGGTTAGTGCCGAAGTTGTTAGTTTCAAATAAAAAGGAAGAGATAATATAACAAGAGTTTCAAATTATTGATGACAACTGGATATTGAACGGGTAAAGATTGTAATTGAACTGGTAAAGCTTGTAATTGAACTGGTAGAGATTGTAATTAAAGATTGTAATTGTTATTGAAGATTGTGTAACATTGATTTATAGTTAATTGTATCAAATACCTTGTTTGAAGCATTAAGGATTATCTATCATATTGTCTATTATCACCTTATTCCAATTCTCTGGTATGCGTGCATTACTACAATCATCTTCCAATTGCTAAAACCTTTAAAAACAAGTTTTCACCAAATTAGCTTCCATGTGTTAATCTAATTATCTAAAACAAAAAAGAAGGGAATTTTTGGTTGTCTATTCAACCCCCTTCTACACAATTACCCCATAATCAAATCAACACGCTTTGTTTATTATACTCTCTCACTGAATCTTTGCGACTCACCCCTTTCTTTTATCTTTTTTAGACTCGCAGGTTGCAGAGTAAAAATCTCTCGGGGTTTGCAATCTACCTAGGAGTTATTCTTTGTGACAGACCGCTTTCTTTAATTGTGGCCATTATATTGTGACTTTAGTATGATGCAACTACAGGAATAGGAGTTATTATTCTCTTTTGAGTTATACAAAAGATGAGATAGTTTTATATATTCTGTTGATAGTTAATTACCATCTGGGGATGTCACGAAATAGATGAGACACTGTCAAGTTTCAGTAACTCTATTATTATTATAAAGGTTTGTGAGTTACAGTGTATTTGGAAGCACGGACACCACGAATACAACACCTACACTGACACGGTGACACCAGTAATAATTTGAAAATATGAATAAATTGAAGGTAATCACAAGTGTAGGTGTCCAACACAGACATGGACAAGCTTTTTTCATAGGTGTCAGTGCTACAGCTTGTTAGGTTAAATATATGATGAGTCGGTGTTAGCCTATGAGCCGGTCATGGCCGATGATCAGGTCGTGAAAGAACCAGTACCACAGGGATCAGGTTTCTATCACATATCATCTGCTCCTCAAACACAAAAGAACGTAGTCGAACATTCACTATGAATTGATAAAATATGACTACTTAAGTAGAATTATTCATTTTCATCCCTATATGTTTTAACTTTTACCAATGACATAGATCAACAGGTTAGACAATTAACCAGTGAACTATCAAAAAAACTCCAAAAGAAAAAATATTCATACTAAAACTTCAAGATATAGGACAATAGAACTTGTGACACTCCTGCTTCTTAATTTACATGCATAACAACATAATAGCAAAGCATTTTATCAACTATTAATGGTATTAAGAAATGACATGAGGAACTAGAGCACTATTACCTTCCCATCCATCTCTTCCTTTATTGCTTCCAAGTGAGGCCTCATAAGCTGCAACATGCTTAAAACAGTAGGCTTAGTAATAATAAGATAAAAAGGGATATAGAAAAAGTGCACATATACAACAAACATCGGGGCCTTCATTCAAAAGGGATAAAATGGTGAAGTGAGTGAATAAACCCTCCAACCCATGTCAGGGATACCTTATTTCATAGTGGAAAAGGGCACCAAGGGCGGGTGGGGGGAGGGTATTTCATCCAAATATCTAATTTGTATCCTCTTGAAACAAAACAGTGACAAAGGAAGGAGCAAGCAATACTCATAGTCATTACTCATTACTATATTTATAGCCAAAAAAACAGGTATGAAAACAAAGCAGCACAACATACCGTAAGCTTAGAAGTGGTCTTGAGTTGATTTATTAAGAGTGGAATAGTTGCGGATCGAATCAAGAGAGTTGTTAGAACTATGGCCAACCACCTAATAAAAAAGAAGCAATGAGATGAAAAGTTTCCTTTCAAAATTCATGTGGCATTAAATGTTGAAGGATTAAATATGCTTTTAGTCCCTATAAAACTCTATACCTTTCAAGTTTAGTACTTCTAAAATTTGTAGTCCCAACAAAATTACAAGCTTACAAATCTTTCAAGTTTAGTTGCTACATTATATAAAATCAAGTGCTTCTACCCCTTACAGGCCCACATTAACTATGTTACTTATTACTAGCAAATAGCAAGTAACACTTAGTGATAAGTGTCATCAAATAGCGGCTCCATGGCCAAGGCGGATATACATGGCGGTTTTTGGGTTCGCTGCGATGGTAAATATCGGCCAATACTGCGGGTTTTCCGTCATAATCCGCTGTAACGGCGGCGCAAAGTGGCCGGCCGGTATGGCCGGATTTTGGCTCCCCGCCATGGACTGCCATCCGCCATCGACAACACTGATGGTAAACTGACAAACAGAGCTGATTGTCGAAATCCATATCCATGGTAAAAGCCAAATAACACACCACGGAAATTATCAATTCTGAACTATTTTAGCATTCCCTCAAAACAGTTTGACTTTATTTTATCTTGCCTAATAGAAACACTCATGCAATATGCAATTATGTGGCAAACGCTTAATTAAGATGTCTATCCTAACAGTCTATTAGTATTTCATATATCTTAATCAAACTATAAAGGGGAACTCACCAGTTTAGTCCAGTGTAGGAATGAACAGCATCTATGACATACTGCAAGGCTTGTACAGGCAAATAAGAATCAGCAGCTGCAATGGCAACTTCACTAACAACGGGAGCCTGAGAAGTTACAGTCTCCACGGCAGTGTCAGTGAGAACATCAGCCACATCAGTCATTACTGTAATCTTATCTGAATTCTGATCCATGGTCGACATATTACGGCAGAAATTATATCCGGCGAATGGATAAACTTGATTATGTCGAAAACCGGAGAAAAAACCCATTGATCCGTTAAGAGAACTTCCAAAAGACCTTGTTTGGATAAAACTATTACTTATTCCTGCTGAAGACGGTTTCTCGTCTGGTTGATCGCGTTTTGCTTCATCGCTATGAAGAATATAGGTGAAAGAAGGGTGAAACCGACGATCGATGAGGTTGCTTCCTCTTCGCAAGAGGCAACGTCGATAAGCCATTGATTTGTATGAAAATGCTATCAAACAATATTCAATAAACAAATTATAAGCAATACAATGGAGGAAAAGGAAAATTCGAAAGAGATGAATGAAAAGAGGAAAACCTGAAAAGTTAGCGACGAGTTGAGGTGAGCTCAGTGCGACGCAAACATTTTAGGTTTTAGTTAATTGAGAGAAGATGTATTACAGTTGTAGTGAGGAGGATGAACTACTCGGCCGTGTGAGTAGAGTTCCGATGACAGAGATTCGTTTACGGCGAAGTGAGGTTACTTGTTTGAGCTGAGCGCGACGGAGCCTTTAGTGGCTGCTAGTCGATTGTTTCAGACTGGAATTGCTTCTGGGCTTTGGTAAGTGGCTTCGTTTTGAGAATTTATAGTGGCACCCACACTTTGAAATAGCACCTCCCACGTAGTTTCGTAATACTCGCGTTACTTTTGTCAAAATTTTATTAAAAAATTCGGATGAAAAAGGAAAATGTCTGGTACAAATAAAAAAAATTAGGTAACCAGATTTTTTAGAAGTATTTACGTATTTCGGATTTTTAACAAAATGTTACAAAAATTTGATACTTTAAAAGGTATTGATTTTTCATAATCAGTCTTCTTTTATCGGATATTTAGTGAATTTGTCATAAATCAAGTAGTGTAAATTGAAGGGTTAAGATTTTGTCAACAATTTTTTTGTGAATGCACTAATCGTTTTGTGTAATCTAAGATAATTTTAAAGTTGTATAAATAGGGGTCATGTGTTATTAAGAACAACGTTTTATGATGTCTCGCTTTTTATTTAAGGTAGAAGTGTATTTCAATAGGGGTGAAACCTCCGGTTGAGTTCCGGCTTCCAAACAACACCACATGTCTCGCCTTCTGAGATCCAAGTTAAATAATATTCCCTTCGTCCCAAATTATAAGACGTTTTGAGCATTTCACACGGATTAAGAAACGTAATTATTACGGAAAGACAAATTATGTGTGACTTTACAGTAATGTCTCTCATAATTACACAAGAAAGATAATTTAAAAGAGTTAAAAGAGTAAATAATAATATATACTTGAGGGTATATTGGGAAAAATGTCATTAATATTGGATTGGAAAATGTAAAGTGACTTATAATTTGGGACAAATTTTTTTGGCAAAGTGACTTATAATTTGGGACAAAGGAAGTATGTTGCCCCACACCGAGAATAGAAAGGTGAGTAAGATCGAGTTTCTTGTACCGTGGATTGATACTGATAGAAGGGTAAAATATGACCGTATTGAGTTGAAGAGTGATGAAGATTTGAAGATTATTTGGAGAACATATCATACGCTAATTAAGGGACCGATCGAGTTTGATGTGAATATTGCTAGATCGATCGACAACATAATCAAGATGTTGAAACGTCCAGAATCATCCAGTAGTGTTTAAGTTTTTTTTGTTAAATGATGTAATCACCTATCAAAGTAATGTAAATATTTGTCAAATGTTAAGTTATGTTCATCATGCAGTAATGGAAGTGTCAAAATGTTATCTAATAAATTGTGTTATGCAAATGTCTGAGTAATACCACACATAATATACAAATAATACAAAAATAATAATAAGGTCTAAATAAGTCCCCCCCCCCCCCCCCCACACACACACACACAGGCTAATGTGTTGTCTACGATGTCAAAGTATAAATCTCACCATATGGGTTCATAAAACTCATGAGGTTATCCATAATGACTACTATCATCTATGAGAAAAAGTATAAACCTCACCATTTGGGTTCACCAAACCTATTAGATGGCAATCTCTAATGGCACGGGCAGAACCCAAAACATTACCAACAAACCATCTATTGATGCCTTCAGATGGAATAGTAGAGATTGGTCGTAGGACGTCCTGTACATGTCCAAACTGGCATAAACACCTTTCAGATAAGTGTCTAGCCATTAAGGTCTCCCATCACATATATCTAGAAAAAAGTGAATTCCATCGAACTACTGACGCACTATATGGTCTGCGTAAGGTGTCTAGATAGCATCGTTTTCAGTCAGCGCATCAATCTTGCCCCTCCGTCTCTTGGCCCGTGCGAACCCATTAGTGGTAGAAATAACATGCCTTTTGAAAATGGACGGGAAATGCTCGTATATCCAGCAATGCACAATAACATAGACTCATACAACTAGCAAGAAATGTCATAAGAAGAACGAAAATAATAATTTTTTATATCTGAAATAGACGTATATAACTAGTAAGATGTCTCGTCTCGAAAACAATCGTCTCCCCGAGCGCAACATATAGAATAGTCAGTGCAACACATCCCATGCCCATCTACAATGCTTAAGGTAACTAGACAGCCACATGTACTTCGCATCGATATATACATAAGACATATCCGCTAAGATAGTACATCGTACAAGATGTAACATGTATATCTTAGGGTTGTCTCATACATACCCTGATGAACTAGATCTTTATACATATCTCAAGGCCAAGATAGTTGAAAGTGAGCATCTCTATTAGTCTTAAACTCCACTATCACTTGCTCCTCAATAAACCCCAAGTCATGTACATCAGTAATGCGTGTAACCTCTTGGCTAATGAGATGAGTGGTAAAGAAACTACCTGCCAACAAAAGATGGATTAGAGAGGAGGCATCATCCAACATAATTGTCATCTCACCAAATGGAAGATGGAAGAAAAATGTCTGCTTATGTTATTGCTCAAAAAAGGTTGCCAATAGTTGGTCGTCGAGTATGGTCAGCGAACAGTCCACCAGTGGAAGGAGACCATAATCATAAAAAATTACCCTGATATGCCGTGGCATCGAGACATCTATGAACTTCTTAAGATTCCCCTTGTGGGTGAGCACCTTCAGCGGCAGTCGGTCCTATAAGAAACAAAGTATAAAAAAGTCAATTATTTTTAATATATTAATAATAAATAAAGTCACGCCATCAGCATATCGTATGCATACCTCTCCCATCCATAATTTAAATTCCACATTATCGACATATCCAGTTAATACAAAACAGTCACCAAGTCCTCCAAGAAACCCTTCATCTATATGTACATACGACTTTGTCAAAGATGGAGTAGTGACCTATGTCTCAACCGGAGAAGTAACCTCTATATCATCTATATCAGGCACCTCAGTAGTCGTTTGTGGGGTAACCTCTATAGTAGTTAGAGTCTCCGTATCAGAAGGATGAGGAACCTCTATCGTCTTAGAAGGATGGGGCACCTTTGTCTCCCCTACCATATGTATGTTATCGGAGCCTCCTTGAACATTAATCGGCTCATCATCTGGCTCACCTCTAGTCCATTCAGTTGTAGCTCTAGATCCTCTACAGCGGATACTACGGGGTGTACGAAACTGCTCGGTCACCAGCCGCCTCATATGAGAATCGATCATAGCTGCTTTCTTCGCCCAGAGATACGAATCCTCTATGTCATCTTAACATACATCTACCATACTTTATGATCAGGATATGCAACAATAGCAAGTAAACTCTGAACATATTTAAGCATTTCAACTGGTGAAATTGTTTCATCATAATGTATACCATGAATTTGCTTATATCTCTTAGTAATCAGTTTTTCCTTATATAATATACCTTACCATCTATTCCAGTCTTCTTTTTGAAGAACCGCTTGCATTCTATAGGATTAAACTCTATATGAGGCTCTACTAAGGTCCTAACCAAGTTTGTGTACATGGAATCCATTTCAGATCCCACAGTCTCTATCAATTTCCCAAACTCAAGACTAATTATGGTCTCTTGATAAGTCACATGATCATCTTGATTGATGAGCAAATATCACTAATAGACTTTTGACAATGTACTAAATGTTATCAAAGTAATAAAAAAATTCATATCTACATGGATTATTTTATCTTAACAAGACGATTAAGATGCCATTAAAAGTAAAATTGGGGGTTTTCAAATGTTTGGTTTGAAATAATAATTTTGTAAATAAAAACTTGTTGGAAATTTAATTATAATAAAGACAATTAGGTCTTGCTTCGAATCCAATGTATGTCACTATTGATGTTGGTGTCTAACTACCCTAAGTGATTCCTCAGTTATTAAGACAATTTAACTTAGTCATTATACCGAATTCTTTGATGTATAACTCATTATTCTACACTATGCTCCCAATTCCTTAGGTCTACTGGCTAGTTAAAATATGCAATATTAGGTACGTTAAACCTTAAGTAGTAACTTATAATTTCTTATCCCTAATCAATTACTAAGTTGGATAATTAATTTAGATGAGATTCATAGAGTTAGGTAGGGGTGGCAAAGCGGGCGGCCTGCCCCGTTTAGACACGCACCATTTAAGCCCATCCAAAAGTGGAATGGGGCTGGGCGGACCAATTTAGACGTCCGAACTCAAAAGTCAAGTTCGCCCTGTTTACTAACGAGTTGGCGGGCCGACCCGTCAATTTTTTTTATTTTTTTACAATTTGATTTACTACATAATTTACAAAATTGTTAATCATTATCAAAGAGACCGAAAAACTTTAACAACGCATAGTAAAATTTTAACAAGTCTTAATGTAAATGTCACATTCTTCAACATAAACAAATAACATAACTATAATACCAAAAACATAAAACAAACACACTAAAATCCCAAAATAATCCTTTTGGTTCAAAAAATCAACAAGTACAATCTAGTTAAGGACATCTAGGGTCTGTTTGGTTCAAATGAGGGGGAGGGGAGGGGAGGGATTTTAATGAAGGGGAGGGGAGGGGAGGGGAGGGGAGGTGAAGAAATTTTTTAATTAAATAAGTGTTTGGTTCAAAAGAGAGGAAGGGAGGGAAGGGGAGGGATTTTAATTAAAAATGTGTTTGGTTCAGAAGGGGAGGGGAGGAGTTTTATTAATAATTTACATTTTTATCCTTATGATCTTATATAAGTCATATGATATTAAAATGTGAAAAAATCGTGCGTATTTTTGTTGGTAATAAAATTTCTAATATTGAATGATTAAAAAAATATTTATTTGTCACTAAAGTTAAAA